AACCAGCTCCAGCACATGACTGGCTATTTGTCCTTCCTTACAAGTGGGACAGACGGCCGGCACATGCTTTTTCTTTTCCTCTTCCATTCTTTCTCCATCCTGCTTGTAAGTCAGACATGACTGGAACTCCAGCAGCTACTCTGAGTCACGAAGCGACTTAGAGATTGATGGTGGTGCAGAAAGAAGGTACAGAAACAAAGGAGAAGCCTTGTCTCTCCTGACCTCATGAAGCTAAAAAGTAACAGCCTTGGCCTGCTTACCTCTGTGCTTTTCTCACAGGAAAAAAAAGTGAAACTCCTATTTTAAAACCACTGTTGCTTTTGGTTTTCTGTTACATGCTACCTAACTAATACAGAGATCCTCAGACTCTGCTTTCACATTTCTATTACGTGTACCTTTTATAATGAAAATGTTTTATTTCAGTATTATTTGCAAACAAAACAAGACCAAAAAAAATTTCTTTCAAGAGTCTAGTGGTTGGGCCCTTAATAAGTGTTTCAGGTTGTCAATTCTTGCAACAGTACCCATGGATCACAGCCAGGTGGAAAAAGCGAGACCGGGGGAAATCACAGGCCTGGCACACAAATCAGCAATGTGGGCATGTCTTGAAAATAAAAGGGATAGACTGAAATCCAACAAAGTTTACAAACTGCCAAAAAGATTTCTGGCCAAATAAGATTCAAAGGCCTCTTGAGATAAGCGTTGGGTGAGACACACAACAGGCGATGGGGAAAGCACAGGAGCATTGGAGGCTGATGTCTCCAATCCAGGAAAGCTCCCGTGAAGCCTGGGATAGGTATGTACCTTGCTGCTTCCCCTTCCCACGGAGAGGGGAAGCAGCAAGACTCCACCTCCCGGCTCAAACGGCAGGGCTCCACGAGGAAGGTGTCCCAGTTGAGGGGACCCCAGAAATGCTAACAAGGAAGCACAAGACAGAGTACTGAACCACCAAGCATCAGATGGAGCAAGAAAACGGGGAACCACTTGAGTCTCTGGGCCCAAAGTTACTGTTAGGGAGGGCTGCACACAGCAATCTCGTGGTTAGTAAAGTCCCTGGCGAGAGCACAATCTAACGGGGTCTCCATGATCACACTCCCTAGGTGGTCACAAAGATTACAGTGTGAGAGACACAGTGCAAAGTCAATCATTGTGTGATTCTTCTGCCTTGTCTTACACAGAGTAACTGCAAAGTCCGTTGAGAATATGCATGGTTGTCGGCCATGTCAAGCCACTAGCTCTACATATACCCTTGATGCCCAAGAGGAAGGTGTGTGCCATGAAAGAGGGGCTAAGCTTAGGTTCCTGTTTTAAAGATACTGCAATCTAAAAGAAGGACAAGCTGTGAGTAGATCAAAATATCTACAGAAACTCCATTTAACGTTCCAGCTTTGGATGTACAGCGAATGTACACTGAATTTGTAATGGTTAAGACTTCAGAAAAGAAAAAAGAGCAATGGAAAAATCACAGAGAGAATACACATATGATATGTGTATGATACGGGTCTTCAGCTGGGCTCTGAAGGATAGACATCATTTGAGCCAGAAAAACAAAAAATTAGAAAAAATGTATTCCATAAGGGAAAGTGGCAAACAATGGGTGTTCAACATACATTTCCAGTGAATAATAAAAGTCGTCAAAAGAAAAAAACTGGGGAAGAGGACAGAATAATACTGAATTCATGGGTAACAATGATGAAGCAGGAAAATGAAAAACGTCCATTCTTTTCATTCATAAATTTGACAAACATTAAATGTGTACCAATTAGGTGCCCGGGCATTTGTTCTATGGCCTCAAACACCAAACTAAGTGCACCTGGACAACAGGGAGCCCCCAGAGGCTAAGCAATGGATTCCTCTTACTCGTTGGAAATTATGAAAATCCACGTTTTTCACGCTATCAGAAACGGGAAAGTGTTAGGAGGAAAAGCAGCTCAGGCTTTTCTAAGACACATCAGCTCCTAACTGAAAAAAAAAAGGTAATAATCAACTGGGAACTAATGAGGCTGCCCCCTGGGCTAAGATACCTCTCTTCCAGCATTTCACAAATTCAGTGAAGTGGATTCCACAAAGGTCCAAGCAGGGTCAGGGTCAGGGCCAGGCTTGGTCAGGTGTCCAAGGTGTCAGATAACCATGACCTAAGGCTAAGTCTATGACATGTGTCACCTGGGAGGTGGTGGCAGACTTTTCACAGTGCTTGATGAATGGAGGGCAAGAGTAAGAGATGCTTACAGCGAGAAACATGAGATGGATATTGGTATCTAAAACAGAAAGCAGCACGGGCTTTAAGTTAATGTTTCATATCCAATAAAGAAGGCTAAATATCTATCGTTTTGATAGATTGCTATAAAAGAAACATTAGAGGGGCTCTTCAACACCGTGTTTCAGATCTTCACTACAGGAAATTAATCTTGGGCAGAATATCACACCCAATATGGCTGGACTCCATGAAGTAGCCAGTTAGGTAACATAGGCTGTGCTTCGTCTAATACAGACCGAATCAGGAAGGAGTCTAAGGAACGATTTCATCACTTCTGCAACCCACAAGCACTGCAGGCCAAAGCAGCAGAGAAGGTTTTCTAGAAATTCTCACCATAGCCATCATGCCCCTGGAGGAGATAAACAACGGTTTCACAATGTCCTCCGAAAAGCAACACGATGACCCATGCTGAGTGCTTAATGTAGCATTATCCAAGAGCTGAGACTGGAGAGATCTCAGATCTGCATCCCTGCCCCACCCAAGAACGGGGAGACCTTTGCTACCTCCAGACCCGTCTGAGGACTCTTCCACCGAACCATCAGTGTCCGTGAAAATTTCTCTGGGATTATCTTGTAGCAACTTCTCTCACTATGGGATTATCTTGTAGCAACTTCTCTCACTATGCAGGAAGAAACCTAAAGCTCAAAATGAAATAAACGGAAAAGATGGTAAAAATAAAAAGACACAAAAGGCCCAAATACAACTAATCACGTCAGCTAAAAACAGGCCTGAGAAAAAATTGCAAATCTCGAAGAATGGAGGTATCTCAAATGTCCAAGCGAAAAAGGTACTCTTCTGGCAACACCTGTTCATTTACAGAGGTGCACAGCGCACGTGTGTTACAGAGGCTCCTACAAGTCCATGCCACGTGCCCACTGGCAGAAATTGACATGTGTTTCACCATCATAGGAGGCACGTGGAGAACCTGGGTAAACAGACGGTGTTCCCTTAGCCTCCCACTCAAGACAGCAAGCAGACTAATTCCCAGAAGAGCCTATAAAACCCATGTCTCAACGAGTTACATATTTAATATCATCTAAAAAAAAAAATTAAACCAGCAAAACATCCTCTCCCGTGTTAGTTTTGACCATAAGACCATCTCAATCCGATTTCACTCCTACAGTGGGAAAAGGGAGAACAGAACAGGGCTGCCAGTGGGTCATTCTAACAACACTTACTGCCCAGCTACAACACGGTATGTCTAGAATCATCCTGGCCCTAAATTCCTCCAATAGGGAATTTTCTCCAAAATGAAGCAAATATTTCACTCCAGCCTACCTTTATCTTGGACTTCTATACTGAAATATGTTTCTTCCTTTGATACTTTTGGCCCACTTGAATTTTAACGATATCTACCTTCCTTAACTGACCAATCATTCATTCATTCAAAGTAACCATAGTAAACATGTACATGTCAGGTACTCTTTTACATGATTTTTTAAATATATTAACATGCCGTAAAATAGGTACTATTACTATGCCCATTTCAGAGGTGAGGAAACTGACGCTTAGGAGGGCAATTAATTATCTTGCCTGCAGTCACATAATAGCAATTAAGTAGAAGACGTGGGATCTAGACCCAACAATTTGGCTCTATCAGCCCTGCTTTTAATCCAACACTATATTGCATAGGCTTTACTTGCTCATTCCAAAGGTGAATAATACGAACCCCGACATATAACCCAGAGAGTAACGGTAAGGAAAAACCCCCTAAGTGTTCTTGGCCACATTTCTCCCCCATGCCTTCCACCTCACTCCCTACTCTCAGTATTCCGCAATTAAGTATTTCTTTTGTCCCCTTGAAACATGCTTTTTATGTTAAAATGGTCATAAGAAATCCCAGCAAGCACAGAAATGACCCAAAACGAGCAACTTATTGTTTAGTTTGACCAAGTGGGCATTGCTTCACATCGACATCTCAGCCAGGGTTCTAGATTTGGGGAGTTTTGCTTGACTAGAAAAAAGGGAAGAGACTAACGTTACCGAGCACTTCTGCACCAGGTGCCAGGTCGTACACTCAGTCCTTTCACCTGCATCACTGTCCTTAATACAAAAGCAAACCTACCAACCGTAATGAAAGCAAGCTCATTTTTAAAGACGAAGAAACAAACTCAGAAAGGTTAAGTACTCTGGTCAAGGAGACTCACCAAGGAATGATGGCATGCAGATTCAAGCCAAAACCTGATCTGAAGCTGAGGCTATTTCTGCGACAGCACGCTGGGTAGGAGAGGCTCTATCCTTTAAAACCAGAAACGATTCTTAGATTTTTTTTTTTTTTTTTTTTCTGAGCTGTGAGTCTTTACAGATTTACTGGTTGTTAAATGCTATTGACTCTAGCTAATTCCCAAATTAACTAGGTTCCTTTCGGAGCTTGTAAAATGTGCTACACACTCAGCTTCCGAATTTAGCACGCAAGTTGATGACCACAGCAGTAAGAATGGCGCAACTTTGTTGTTAGAACAATGCACGCCGAAAAGCCTCTCTTTAATTTCTACCTTCTTTCATGAAGGCTACGTGAATGAGGACACACCTAGGATACAGCATATTAATTTCAACACAGCTAATACCCAAAATGTCCCACCAATTTACTCTTCACTGACAATGTTAAAAGAAAATGATTTATGCAGATCAATCATCTCGCCCATCAAGTCCTACCCTGACAGCCAGCCTTCATCATTGCTATTTAAAAGGCACTGCTGACAGAAAAGACCGACTCTTTGATTAAGGGCCCTGTCTGGCTAACCTTTTATTTGAAGAATGATTGCCGCTGAGTGACAAATACTTTTCCATTCATTTCAAGGCAAAGATATTGACATTCAAATTCTTGATGGCTACACTGAGCAGATGCCACTGTTGGCAAGAGGCTTGAGAGCAACAGCAGGTACGCCGTGGCTCTGGGGGCAACGGGGAGAAATGAATAAAACTAAAACACACGCGTGGGCACTGGCTAAAGGTTCTCAGCGAGTGAAAGCTACGGGTCTCTCAGCCAGATCCTCTTTCCTGAGTAGTTATCAAAGAACATCTGTTCGTAGCTGCGCCCCAGTTCTCTTCTTAAAAGTGCCCTTGCGTTACCTTGACCCTACTTGGAACTGCACAGGCAGCAAAGACTAAAAGTAAAAAGGAGTTTGGGAGTGTGTAGTTCCCAGCCCTAGGAAGAAACATCCTCTCCCTCTCTGTCCCAAATCACATGATCCCTGGAGACCTCTAGCTAAAATTACTGATCTCACGGGAATTTAAGTGACTACAAAATGAAAGAAGCATCTGAAAAATCACCTACGAAAAACAAAACAGAAATATTTTATCCTATCTGCCAGGGAGAAAGAAGAAGAAAAAAAATACAAGGAAGAGGCAGGGATTGACAGAAACAGAGTGACAGTAAGAGACAGAAACTGAGCTTTTAAAAAAACACAGTTTTCTAATTCATTTCAGGTAGAGTTCTTCCTTGGTCAGCAACCATATATATATAAAATGTAAACATATCCTCACAGCAGGATTATTTTGCTTATTTTTATTGCTTAAATGCTAACTATTACCTTAAAGGGAAATGGGGAAATTATGGCTTAGGGAAGGCTATTTGTGACAAGAGCCATCACAAAGCCTCAAGGTTAATCATTTCCAGGAACAAAACGAAAATACCTCAGCAGGTCATCAGTGATTCCTTTTAAATCTTGCCGAGATGCAAAGTGTGGGTCTCACGTGCTTCACGGGGGACGGGGCATCAAAAAAAAAACCCCAAAAAAACCAACAACAAAAACCCTGGAGCTCTGAACCTCTGACCAATTCCCACAGGTGGCAAGGTGGGGGACAGATGAGACACAGACAGAACCTTTTCCCCTGTCGCCCTAAGGCCCAACAAGTGACCCAGGCAGCAGAGTATAGGAAAGGTTTTCAAAGACAGAGAAAACCTGGGTTTGAATCCAACCCGTGCTACTTATTAGCTGTGAGGCCTGGAGCAAGTTACTGTTCCCTCCCCAGCCCTCTGTTATCCTATCTGCAGAATGGAGACGGTAATGTCTACCTTGCACAGTTACTTGCAGATATGAAAAATTGTGTTAAATAAAGCAACGTTCCCTTACTTATGCTGCTTTCCCCCTCCTTTCTTCTCCTCTTCTCATTTTGGCTCACTTGTATGTATGACAAAGTAGTCCAGAAGGGGTATGGGAAAAACATAAGATGTACTGTTACCAGGCTAAGCTGTGACTCCGGCTATAGACCATTACTACCCATACAACTGCGCAAGCTTTGGCTAAGTTACATGTTGAACCTCAACTTCCTCCACTTTAAAGGAGAGCAATCCTAAGAGCCCACTTCCCTCACTGTGCTACAATGAGAACAAATCATAACACGTTCATGAGAAAGCACTGTACGTTTTCAATCTGTACCGAAACGTTTGCAGTTGTTACTGTTGCTCTCCATTTCCATCTTTTTGCTTGTTTATTTCTCCCATCTATATTTCTCGTGGTGAATAATAAATCAACAAACAGCAAATTTATCAACAATCATGACATCACCTTTATCCCTTAGAACCACTAGTCGTCGCTTCTGCAGCTGTGTCTTGAAGAAGTGTCAGAAGTACTAGAAGCCTCACGTTTCCTCCATAACAAAAACTTACTGGAGATTACGATGAACTGGGCACTGGGGCGAGGAGGTGAATGAAAAAAGCAAAATTCAGCCAGGTGGAACAAACAGACAAATAAAGAACTGATTTCCATATCGCTGCATCATCTGAGCTAAGTACAGAGGATACTGAGAACGCCAACAAGGGAGGGTGTGAAAACCTGGGGGATTCGGAGAAGGTTTCACTACGGCGATATTAGATCTGGCTCTTTAAGGGTGAGCGAGTCCTCACCAGGTGGAAAGGAAGAAAAAGGTCATTCGGGGGAAAGAATGCTAGGTGCAAAGGCACAAAGGCCTAAGAGAGATCACATGCTCCGGCAGGGACAAGGGAAGTTAATGCGTTCAATGTTTCATCATAAAATATGATATTTGCTGTCGGTTTTATATGTATTTTATCATTTTCCAGAAACTCTTCTCATGAATAGCTATTGAGTTTTATTGAATACTTCCTTTGCATCTAATAGCTATTCTATGGATTTCCTTAATGTGAATTACATTAATAAGTTTTGTGATGGAAAACCATCCTTACATTAGAAAATAAACACAAATAAAATGATAAAATGTATCATTTAAATAAATAAATAAATAAGGGGGGGAAAAAGACATCCTGTAGATTTAAGACTCACTCCTTGAGGTGACGGGGAGGTTTCAGCTTGAAACTGCTGTGATACGGCCCATGGTTTAGCAACATCACCCCGATGCAAGGCTGGACACATGAACATTTGCTGTGTTTGCAGTTTCCACTCTGTGCTAGAAACTGGAGAGACAGCAATGAGAAAGAGGGATCCAACACTACCTGTGGGAGGGAGAGCTAGGTAGACTTACTTGCTTTCTTGCACTATGAGTAGCTGCCCCCCTGAGCAGCACCTGTAGGTTCATGTTTAGCCTCTGAACCTGCTCTTCATACCCAGTTCACTGGTGTGGGTGCCTGCTTTCCTGCTTGACCCTACTGTTGCATATCTATGGCCTCTGGTGCAACTATGGATCACCCGCTTGTGGGTTGAGAGCTCTGTTCTCCAGCTTCCTGCCTTGCCTCCCTCAGCTAACCTGCTTTGACCTGCAGTGATCCTGTGGACTGCCCAAGAGCTCCTGAAACCATCTCTAAAAGTGGGGGAGGTCCGGGCTTCCCTGGTGGCACAGTGGTTGAGAGTCCGCCTGCCGATGCAGGGGACGCGGGTTCGTGCCCCAGTCCGGGAAGATCCCACATGCGGCGGAGCGGCTGGGCCAGTGAGCCATGGCCTCTGAGCCTGCGCGTCCGGAGCCTGTGCTCCGCAACGGGAGAGGCCACAATAGTGAGAGGCCCGCATACCACAAAAAAAAACAAAACAAAAAAGAAAGTGGGGAGGTCTCTATTCCGAGCCTCTGCCCCTTGCTCCCTGTATGTACCCCCAGTACAAGTGAGGCAAGGATGATGTTATGTGTTCACCAAATCTTGTTTCATTCTCCTCTTGCTGGGCACACAGACAACAATTCATAACCTCCATTACAGTTAGCTTGGGTTCTGGTAAATACAAGAAAAATGGGATATAAGTTTTAAATGGGTTAAAAACATCTCAGTGCAGATTTTCTGTATTTGTTTCCTAGTTTTCTATAATAATTACTACAAACTTGGTGGCTTAAAACAATGGGAATTTATTCTCTCACCTTGATGGACACCAGAAGTCCAAAATCAAGGTGTCAGCAGGGTCACACTCCCTCCAAAGGCTCTAGGGGAGAATCCCTCCTTGCCTCTTCCAGCTCTGACAACTCTCAGCGTTCCTTGGTTTGTGGCACCATCACTCCAAACTCGGCCTCTGTCTTCACATGGCCTTCATCCCTCTCTATGTCTGTGTCCAATTTTCCCTCTCCCTTCTCTTATATAGGCACTGGTTTAGGGGTTTAAATCTCACTCTAAATCCAGCGCTTCTTAGGATCCCCTCAAGATCCTTAAGTAAAGAATCCTCTCTGTCTTGCAAAGATCTTATTTCCAAATAAGCTCACATTCTGAGGTTCCAGGTAGACGTGAAATTGGGGGGGGGGGGGTCAGTATTCAACCCACTCCACCTCCCGTGCAACCTTGGAAGCATCACGATCCAGGTGATGCAGCCACCAGACGTCAGAGCCAGATCCCTGAGGGACCGTGCCCAGCTGAGCTCCCCTCACACCAACCCTCACTGGGCACACACGGCGAGCACAGAACAAAACTTCGCAGGGTTAAAGCCGCTGAGACTTCAGGCTTGATTTGTTACAGCAGCAGAGCCCGGCCTGGCTTGGCCACTACTTCGAGCCTCGGACCCTCATCCTGCAATCCAAACACTACGAGCCCAGGGCTGACAGGCAGTGTTTTCATTTGGGTTCAACTTTTGCTCAAAAGCCCTTTTAGGTGGCTCTTTCTGAGTGTCCCAGGAATTTCTCCCAGAGCTTTGCTTGGCCTGGATATGACTGTTTGGGAGGTTTCTTGTTTTCCCTGGGGAGTGTCATGAGGCTTTGCTGATAACATCGCTGTTTTCTCTACTGGTCTCAGAGGACAATGTGGTGGGCCAGTATGAATTAGCTCTTGCTTTTATTGGGACAGGGAAGAGAGAGAAAGGGGTCAAATGTGAATGTTTTCCAGCTACATTCATCCAAAAGTGAACCAAGGAAAACAGTAGCTACTGCCCCTTTCTTAAAGAACTAAAAAGAACACCAGGTTTTCAAGTCATACTGACTTGGGTTAAACGCCCCAATTTTTGAGTTCCATAAACTCAACAGCTACAATGCTTTGAATGTCACCTTTTATCACAGAGCCCTAGTTCTCTTACCTTTTAGAAAAAGGGGATAAACACCACCTTTTCTACAGGTGGCTATGAGGATTAAATGACACTAGATACATGTTCAGCTGAGTGGTATGATCATAGGAGCTACTTACTGGGTAAAGCTGAACTTGTTTTGTTTCTGGACAGGCCAACTTATTCCCATCTGGAACTTCTTCCCTTCCGGGGCAAGAGGAAAGCTAAGATGACATGAAACCATGATCTGCAGCACTGGCCTCAATGACCCCCAAGCATTTCGTCCCTTTTCTCTCGTTCATCCTTTTAGATACTACTAGTCGAATCCTTGGAGATGGCTTACAAGACAGTAGATAGACTGACTAATCGTTTTAACCAGCTAAGTTCTGCTCTTAAATGCTTCATGAGTGTTCATTTTGATCCTCCAATTAGAAGGAAAGCTCTCTGAATGCAGGACTATGTCTTATCCTACTTCTGTAAACCGCACGGCCATCAGCACAGTGCCAAACTGACCACACAGTCACTGACCAACTACAGAGAAAACAGAGGATGGAAAGTTCCCGTGACTAAGACAGGATCTGGCTTCCAGCAACACCGATGTTCGCAAATTAGTGGGCCAGTATTAAAGTCAGCTGG